TCATTTTTCTTTTTACTCCTCTGACTGGATAACACGTGACTTGTCTTTGTGTTCGCTCATTCTTTCTTCTACTTGAGTACATCTGATGTTGAACTCCTCTAGTGAATTTTTCAGTTCAGATGTTGTATTTTCAGCTCTAGAATTTCTGTTTAGTTCTTTTTTTATAGTTTCTGTTTCTTTGTTGATTTTTTTCATTCTTTTCATGTATTGTTTTCCTGATTTTTAGTTGTCTGTGTTCTTGTAACTCACTGAACTTCTTTAAGATGGTTATTTTGAATTCTCTTATTTAATTCATACAGCTCTATTTCTTTAGGATGAGATTTATTTTGACTTCCTAATTTGGTCATATTACCCTGATTCTTTGTATTGCTTGTAGATTTGCACTGGTGTCTGTGCATTTGAAAATACACCTCTGCCAGTCTTTACAGACTGGCTTTGACAAGGAATGACCTTTACCAATCAACATGGCTACAGTTTCAGGGAGCCTCTCAAACCTCTCCTATGGATTTGTCTTCTCTGAATTTGTGCATGTATATTACTGATTAGATGTATTTACTTATTTTTTCATGAGCCTACAGTCACTTGCACTCTCTGGGTTTTGACTGTTTTACCACAGGCTTAGATGTTGGAGATGCTTCGTTCCTTTCCCTCCCTCTTGCGAGAGCAGCCTCAGGTTCTGCACCTTCTCCAAGTCTTACAGAGCTGTGCCAGCTTCAGCAAGCTGACTTCTGCTCTCTTTTGTTCTTAGCTGCCCCTAGGCATCCAAACTATGCCAGTTCTGTCAGCATTCTGGGTGAAGCAAAACAGAAATTTGTCTGTCAGGCAGTACACCAAAAGCCCTGGGACAATGGAGTGAGGCTGCACTCTCTCTTTCCCCTCAAGGGAGAAGTCACAGGCAGAGGTGATTTCTTTAGGCATTGAGTTGTGCCAGCTTAGGGTAGGGACTGATGTAGGTAAAGTGAAATTGCTCTTTTTACTTCTTTCAATGTAACTGTTCACAGTCAGTTTTGTGCTCCTCTGGGGAACTGCAATGTCTTAATTTGAATCTGAATTTCTCCTAAAGCTATTTGATTTGTATATTGTATTTTGTACATCGTTTTGAAATCAGTGCTTCTGTGGGGGAAAGAGGTCTAAGAGTTCTTATTTCACCATCTTTTTGCCAGTACTCTTTGCCTAAAAATTGCATTTCAGTTATTTGTTATCTTAATTTTTCATATTTAGTGCAGTCTATGAAAACAATCTTAAGAGAAAAGATGGCAAATAACTTGCATCCCATTTACCATTCTAGTCAGTCCCAGTTGCCTAGTGCAGCAGGAAGAGAAAGATCATAGTGAATTAGCAACATCTGCCATGGTCACAGGATGGGGACATAGTGGCAGGTATGTCTGGGAGTTGCTATTTCTCTGAAGAAATGCTACCTATGAATGTGTTTGGCTGAAACAACAATGATGATTACAACAATAATATTATGATAGTGGCATCTAGCTGATATTGAAAGCTTTCTGTGCTGATAAACACTGCAATAAGGATTAAGCTAAATACTTTACATGTGCTGTCTGCCACCTTTACTTCTCACTATAAGTTGGTAATTATTACACTCATTACCCTTGAGATATCTGAAGTTTAAAGAGGTTGGGTAATTACCAAAGTCACAAACCTAGCAAGATTAAATCTAGGTCTGTTTTTTAACATGTACCATATCACCTGCCAAACAACACTATACACCTAAATGGTGTTTTACAGTTTCCAAAGTACTTTCCCATAACCTATCTCATTTGTCATGTGAGAAACTCATCATAACAGGGTTGTGGTTGACAGGATAGATGATACCACTCATCTGACTTGTCAAAGGAGATCAAAGGCTTTCCTCCAATTGATATGCATGCTGCCTGAGCTAGAAGCAACCTGATATAATGGAAAGACTCCTAAGTCAGACGTGTTATTAACCTACTCATTCATTCATCTTACATTCACATATACATTAAATGTGTTCTGTGTCACAGGCACTGAGCTTTAATTCTCCTTTTGCCTCTCTTTATCTTTAGGATGTTGGGTAGTTTACTGCCTCACGATTTTATAATATAGGAGCAAGCGATACCTACTCAAACAGATCCAGATGCAAATCCTAGCTAACACATTATTTGCCTATTAGAAAAATCTCTCGTTTACACAGTTATCATTATTCTTCTAAATAATCTTTTAATTTTAAAATTGTGGACTATAAAAACTCACACTATTTAGTTCTCATTATTTGCCAGATAATAATCTAAGCACTTTAGAAACAAGAATAGATGTAATCCCCATAATAACTCTATAATGTAGTTACTATTATCATTTGTAGTTTTTTCTTTCTACAGTTTTACAAATGAAACACAGAGAAGCTAAGTGACTTTCCCAAGATTACACACCCTAAAAGTGGTAGAGTTTGGGTTCTAACCCCAAGACTCCATTTCCAAAGCAAGTTTACATCCACGATTTATGATGTATCATAAAGTTGTTCTGAGGGTCATATTAAACTGGATGATCATGCAACATATCTAACAAAGACACAATACAGAAGTGTCACTTAACAACAGGGATACATTCTTAGAATGTATCGTTAGGTAATTTCATTGTTATGCAAACATTATGGAGTGTACTTACCCAACCTGGATGGTATAGCCTACTACATACCTAGGTGATATAGTATAGCCTATTGCTCTTAGACTACAAACCTGTACAGCATGTTACTGTACTGAATACTGTACATGATTGTAACACCATGGTAAGTATGTATATAAACATATCTCAACATAGACAAGGCAAGGTAAAAATATGGTATAAAAGATCAAAAAATGGCATATGTGTATAGGGCATGTACCATGAATGGAGCTTGCAGGACAGGAAGTTGCTCTGGGTGAGTCATTGAGTGAGTGGTGAGCGAATGTGAAGGCCTCGGACATTACTGCACTACTGTAGACTTTATCAACACTGTACACTTAGGCTACACTAAATTTACTTAAAAAAAATTCTCTCTTCAATAATAAATTAACCTTAGCTTACTGTAACTTTTTTTTACTTTGTTAACCTATTTTTTTAACTTTTTGACTCAATTACACTTAGCTTAAAACACAAATACATTTTATAGCTGTGCAAAAATATTTTATTTTTTTATATCTTTATTCTATAAACTTTTTCTACTTTTAAAATTATTTTATTTTTTACTTTTTAGTTAAAAACTAAAACACAAACACACACATTAGCCTAGGCCTACATAGGTAAGGATCATTGATATCACTGTCTTCCAGTCCTACATCTTGTCCCACTGGAGGGTCTTCAGGGGCAACAACACACATGGAGCTGTCATCTCCTATGATAACAATGCCTTCTTCTGGAACACCTCCTGAAGGACCTGCTTGAGGCTCTTCTTTAGGAAGTGTCACTCTCTTCAGAAATATATCTATGGCGGTTTGCTTGGTTTGTTTCTTTTTTTCATCATAGATTTTCTTATAAGCAGATAATGTACCATGAACATTCCTTTCTGTTAATGAAAACCTTTCAGTGTTGGGGTCCATGTTTTCAAACTTTTAAAGGAGCTCGTTGAGGTCTGCAAAACCTTCTGAGAAACACAACTGGGAATTTTCTTGAGGGCTCTCCTTTTTCTTCTCCGACAGTTTCCTTTTCTCTTGTCTTTTCTTCAGCTATGTGTTTCTGTTCCAGTTCCAACAACTCCTCATTAGTCGATTCCTCAGGAACCACATCTAGGATTTTCTCAATGTCCTCTTCATCCATAACAAGGTTAAAGATATTTGCCATCTCAATCACAGCGTTGTTGATTTTTTGCAACATCATTATCCTTGGAAAATCCTTTGCAGTTATGGATGAACCTCTTGAGTGTCTTCCAGATGCCATTCATACACACTTTGATGACATTACTCCAAGCCCAAGCAATATTCTTTATGCAGTCATAGATGCTGTAATTTTTCAGAATTGCATCAATGTCTTCTCAGTTGCTTCAATAGCCTGGGCAAAAGTCCTCTATGGGCAGTAGGCCTTAAAAGCTGCTATAATTCTTTGATCCATTGGTTGGATCAGAGAGGTAGTGTTTGGAGGGAGAAACACTGCTTCAACATTGGGATGAAGATCACCAATAAAAAAAGGATGTCTAGGATAGTTATCAACAACAAGCAAAATCTTGAAAACTATATTATTCTCTAAACAGTACTTCTCCATTTTGCTAGCATAGCAATCCAGGAGGGCAACTTGGAAGAGGAGCTGGGTCATCCATGACTTCTTATTACTCCCATAGTACACTGGTAGTGTGTGCTTATTGATATGCTTGAAGGCCCTGGGATTCTCACTGATCACAGAGGGTTTCAATTTGTACCCTGCAACATTGACCCCCCAGCAAAACTATTATCCTGTCCTTAAAAGTCATGAAATCTGACATTGACTTGTCCTTCTTCTGGAAGAAAGTCCTTTCAGGAGTCTATTTCCAGAATAGGGAGGTTTCATCCATATTGAATATTTGCTCTGGCAAATAATTTTCCTTCACAATCAGCTCTCGAGTTTCCAAAAATTCTTCAGCTGCCTTCACATCAGCACTTACAGACTCACCATTCACTTTCACAATGTGTAGTGAATAATGATTCTTGAATCTTTTAAACCAGCCACAGTTAGCAGTAAATTCAACATCATAGTGATGTCCAGCCTTTTCTTCTAACATTTTCAACAAACTTTTTACTTTGGACATGATCTTCATGGTGCTGAGACAGATATGCTTCTGTGCCTGGTCTGTAATCCAGGTCATTAGAAGTTTCACCATATCTGATATAGGCCCTTCTCAAATTTTTGTTAGTCTCATTGCCTTCAATGAAGCAGATATTTTAACAGATTCTATTGCTTTGTTCTTCTTCTTCAAGATTGTAGCTATGGTGGAATGTGATATGCTTGACTGGCGAGCAATAAGCATCATTGATTTTCCACCTTCATAGCCCTTAATCACTTTTAATTTTATTTCCAGATCAGTCACTTAACATGGCCTCTTACTAGCAACATTGGCAGTGGATCTGTATGCTTAGGGGCCACGATGAACAAAACAACTCGAGATTGAATCAAACACAAGAGAAAATGATGCAATCAAGAGACGTGGTAAATATGAGATGTATGAGGCTGCTAATGGTGTAACAGAGCATACTGTTTTACAGTAAACTATTTTTTATGAGTAGAGAGTACACTCTACATTAATGATAAAAAGTATAGTATAGTATATACATAAATCAGTAACATAGTCGTTTATTATTGTCAATATTATGTACTATACATAATTGTATGTGCTGTACTTTTATATGACTGGCAGAGCAGTAGGTTTGTCTATACCAGAATCACCACAAATACGTGAGTGAGTTAATGTGTTGCACTATAAGAATACGACAACTACATTGTCACCAGGTGATAGAAATTTTTCAGCTCCATTATAATCTTGTGGGACCACTGTTGTACATGTTGTCCATCATTGACCAAAACATCATTCAGTGCATGATTGTATATATTCAATAAATATTAATATCATTTTCTTGTGAGCCTAGGTTTTATACTACAAAGCTGAGCTACTTTCACTATGCTATTCTGTCTCTCTAAATAGTGACAGAAAGGAATGCTGTGTCAGAGGGATTCTAAACAAAGGATCATGTAATTTATATCACAAAACTAGTCAAGGAGAGAATGGCTTCATGTAAGAAAACAATTCCCCGTAGCCTTTTTTTCCATTTCCAGTCTGCATTTTCATAACGTCAGGTCATTGAGTATGATTTCAGTGACTTGTGTTCATACACAATTTCAAACCTAGATAGTTAATGAAACAATAAATTATTTAGCTGGAAAGAAAAAGCAATATACATTTTCGTTCTACATTGAAGCATCTTAGAAATTAGGAAAACTCTGATATAAAAATTTAACTCTTTTCCTTCCAGGTAATTGACCATTTATTCAGAATGTTTTTTAATTCAAGATGTACACAAAAATGTGTATGCATGCTACTATAGTCCTCATTCTTTGGTGATTGGGCTAATTCACACCTCATTACTGATTGATTGATTGATCAAAGAATATATTTATTCACTGTATACTTCTTTCACTACTGCTTGCCAAAGATCTATTTCCTTAAGAAATGAGAAGCTGCCAATCGTAACATACTTTCAAGAGCTCTAGAATATTCTCAAACTGTTCCAGGATATAAACCACACTTAGTAATCCAGTAATGAGACCAAATCGCTTCAGTAAGTCAACAAGAAGCAATACTTCTTTTTCAATTGTGTTCTTTAAGTGTGTAGCAAGTTAAAAGATATCATGTTATTCATGAAAATGGAATCAGAGACTGCTTAATTGTCTAAAATATATTTTGCAAGAAGCATAATGTTTCATTTCTTTGATTTTCTCTACCAAAAAATAAATTAGAAATTCTGTTCTTCTCCATATAAGCTAAAAGCTCCCCCTACTGTTGAAGAAGCTATTGAGAAAATATCCTTCAATTTTAGCCTCTTGATCAAATCAAATAAGCAATGCTTTGTTCTACCAATAGGACTAGAACAGAAGGGAAAATAGAGTAGGGTGTCCTACCTGCCAAGTCACTCACGGATCATGTGGATTGGATATGAGAAGGACACTCTAACATTGTGTTTCTTCAGTCATCCCCATTTCACACACATTTTGAATAGTGAGGACATTTCACCATGTTAAAAGGATCCCAGGTTTTAAAGCTACTTCTTTTTTATAACATATCTCTCCAGTTAAAGTCAGTTCCTCTGATGCTCAACACGAGAATTAAATGATTTGTTCTAAATACATAACAGAGGAAAAAAAGCATATTTTGGACTTAATGAGCAAAAGTATGCCTAAATATTATATAAAACTTACAGGTCTGGTTTTGAGTACCTGAGGACAAACGGCATTAGTAGAAAACAGCAGTACCATTTAAGAAGGATGTATAGGACTGCCTTGTTTCTTAGGCTGGTTTCCTCCAGAAGCAGGTACTGAGACAACGATTTGAGTACAAGTAATTTATTTGAGAACAATCCAGGAAGAAATAGAAGAAAGTGGAAAATTAGATAGGATAGGAAGAAAGTCAGTGAAGTGTGCCTTATGACACAGGCTATTGCTGTTGGTGAATGAGTCTTGGTCATGTTAGCAAAATCAGAGAGAGGTAACACATACCTCGGAGTTACCCTCTTGGGAGCAAGGAAGCCAACTCTCCCTCTTCCATTGATTGATGACTTTTGCATGACTCAGGCCTTTAATTTATGACACTCCGCGCTTGCCTGGAGCAGGTGATGCACTTGAACATGTTCAGAAATAAAGCCTTTGGAGAGCCACAGGTGTCTGCATAAGTGGCATTGTGGTACACGGACTTGAATTTGACAGGGATGCAGTCTCAACAGTGTCAGCTCCCCCTGGTTAAAAAGACACATAACAGAGCCAGCCTTGATGGTCTAGTGGTTAATGTGTGGCATTCTCACTGCTTTGGTGGCCTGGGTTCATTTCCCAGTCACAGAACCACACCACTCATCTGTTAGTTGCTATATTGTGGCAGTGGCTCACATAGAAGAATGAGAAGGACTTACAACTAAAATATACAACTATGCTCTGGGGCTTTGAGGAGGAAAAAAAAGAAGAAGAATGGCAACAGATGTTAGCTCCGGGAGAATCTTTCCCAGATAAATAAATAAATACCAAAAAAAGGACACATAATGGATTATTGAACTACCCTTTTACTCTTTCTGCACAAAATCAGACTTATCATGAAAACTTGAGAATTTCATTTTTTCAGCTTTTAACAGTTTGTTCACCTGAACTTGGGAGTTCTCAGCCCATTCTCACATGGGCAGTGGGGTTTCTCCAGAAGCTTTGTAGATTATGCATTGGGACACATAAGAGCTCAGTATAGCAGAGAAGAGACATCATGAATACTACATAGAGACACCAGTAGGCTCTTTTGTTCTTCTCCTGCTGTTGTCTTGTTTTCTTGCATCTGGGAGGTAATTATGGCCATTGCTAAACTGAAGAGATCAAGCCTGTGGACCTTTTAGCTATACAAACAACTCCAACAAAGCAAAAATTTCCGCTTGAACTTGTCTGTAGACTCAAACAATGTATCACTCTAATTGAAGTTGAAAGGCAGAAATTAACCCCTGTAAACCAGGCATACCTGCTTCTCAGTGACTTCCCAAAACCCTTCAAGGAGAGTGTGATATTGAATGTAAGAAGGGTTACTGTCATTGTCCATGATGAATTTTAATCAGGTCATCTCTCCCTTATCCCAGTTTCAATCTTCACTAAGGCTTTATTTAATATCTAGTAGGAAGCTTTCTATTAACAGCATCTGCTAGGGAACAAATACTTCAGTCAAACTGGTGACAGCAAGTTATTTTAAACTCTGTCTTGTACCATAATAGGCTATTTTAAATAGGATAAATAGTATAATTTTGTGTAGAACTTAAAAATTGGAAATTATTGTATACGTTATATATATTTGACAATATATGGGAACTTCAAATATTATTTATGCATCCTTAAAGAAAATATTCTAATCCTATAAATAAGACACACTCAAATGAATAGGTTGACTCAGGAATATAAAACAAGAAACTTTTTCTAGTTATATATTTTATTCAAATAAGACGAATTCAAACAATAGTGAAAATTATGCTGTTTTTCGAAGAAAAAATGATATAAATATAGATATAGATTTGAATAGATCTATTAAATGATAAGTGTATACATTTTAAATAATTCTAAATCAAAGTGATTGTTGCAATTAAAATATTCCATTAATCTTCTGGGAATATGTGTTTTTATAGCACTATTTTTAAATTATTTCTACATTTTGAGCTTTAATGAGACTGAAGTGAGTTTAGTTCTCCAGCTTAAAAATAGTATGTTTAAAGGGATTAATTTAATTATATAGACACTAGATATAAAAAATAAAATGATTCTTTCATTATAATGATTCAGCTCCCAATTGCAATCCCAGTGTGTGGGAGGGGGGTGGGGGCAGGGAGGAGATATTCGCCACATCACCAAGCAATTCTTTGACATAGATGTTCTACAATTCTACTCAAGTCTGACACTATCATCTACCTGAAGATAGCATCAAATTCCACAGGTTAAGGCTTCAGTCCCACAAGAATGCCACCCAACCTCACACCAACATCAGATGCCAATTGTAAGTCCAGGTTATTACCTGTCCTTCTGACCAATGGTGTATAGACTGGAGGTTCCAATGACCCCTCCTTGGTTTGGTTAATTTGCTAGAGAGGCTCATATAACTGAAGGAAACATTTTACTTACTAGATCTCTGGTTTGTTATAAGAAGATGGTAACTCAGGAAGAGCCAGAAGGAAGAGGTACTTAGGGCAGGACATGGGGAGAGGTTGCAGAGCTTCAATGCTCTTCTACATGTGCTCAAGAACCTGGAAGCTCTCCAAGCCCTGTCCTTGTGTTTTTATGGAAGCCTCATTACATAGGCATGATTGATTAAGCCATTGGCCACTAGTGATGGATTCAACCTGCAGCCCCTCTCCCCTCCTAGGAGGTCAGGAGGTTGGGACTGAAAGTTCCATGGTTGGTTCTCATGGCAATGAGTCCCATTCTTACCTGAGATGATATAATCTCCTTCTCTCTGAACTCCTGAGTAACATCAAAGTGCAAAACCCCTCTGATTCAGATTCTGTTCCTTGGAGAATTCAGTCTATGAAAAAGAGTGAGCATTTAAAAACTTTATGAGCAATAGTTTATAAATATTGCCAATATTTTTATTTGCACATGTGAATAATTATACTATCTTTTAATAAAGGGCAAAGGAAATAAAAAAGAAACAGTTTTTAGGGGGTGGAATAAAGAGAGAGATTAAATTTTCAATCACAACTCTATCATGTACTAACTGTGTAATATTGGAAAAATTAACCTTTTGAGTCATATATAAAATGACTCAAAACGTCTTGAGTTTGCTATATAAAATGGAATTGATAATCTAAATATTGCAGAGATAACTGGTTATCAAACACAAATTTGTGATTTCCCTTCTACAGTGTGTAGTTGTCAATGAGAATCAGCTGCCTACCAGGGCCAACAATTCTTAGACCTCACTGAATCCAGATATAGCCATGTGACTAATCTCTCTCCACTCAAAATGGAGAGAAATGGTGTATGTGACTTTCAGATCAAGGTTTGCTGGAGCAGGGCACCTGCACCATCCTACTAACTGGATGCTGTGCTTTTGGTGAATGGCAGAGCAATAACAAAGGAGCCCAGGTGTTTGAATCACCATGTGGTGCTAAGACTCACCAACCAAGAATACTTTCATAGAAAGATTATGTGAACTAGAAAATAATATGTCTGTGTAAAACTTCTGAAATTTGAGATTTCATTTATATATAGCTTCTAATATATGTTAATCTTAAAAGTTTTTCCTCTCAAGCAAATTGCATATTTTATTTTATTTTGTGAAATTCTGAAGAAGAAAGTTGGCTTGAAACCAAGCTATCATTACAAAACGACTTTGGTCAAGCTAAAATATATGCGGAAATGCCAGAATAGGACACCAGAAGTTTTCCTGGGATGGGTTGACGTGGTTGTGTATTATTAGTCCTTTGACATGAGAAAACTGAGATATGTGGACCGCATCCAAGGAAAGATACTCCCTGATTCCTGGAATACTAGCTGATTCCTGGCAATGTCCATCACCTTTGAATGACCAGCTAACTCCCTTCATTCTTATTTCACTCTGTCCAAGTAAGATTCTGATTATAACTTGGCTAACTCTTTAGAACTACCGACAATGTTGATAAGTTTTATCTGCTACCCAAGTTTTCGGGGTCCTCAGTGAGGGCTGCTAGAGTCAACTAATTAAACCTGTACTGGCGTCCACAGTTATTGTTTGATGTCCATGATGTATTGATCATTAAACAATTTGAATATTAACAGTGCTATAAGCAGTCCTATCTATCATTTTAATTATGTCTTTCTTGCATCAGGCCCTGTGAATCAGGTTAATATGAATCCAACTTAGAAAAAAGGATGCACCACATCAGCCTTCTAAAAATATAGGATAGATTCTGACCCATAATGGATTCCTCAAGATAAGACTACCCTATGAGCCCTCTTGGCAAATTAACTATAGGAAATAGCTGACCACACCCAAAACACAAAATTAACCGACATTTTGAAATAACTTATGCCTTCGAACTATGTAATAGTAATAAATGACTAGGCTTAAATTTAAAATACTTAGAATCACAAAATTACAGAATTAAGGAATCTTAGAACTTTAAAAGATCTTAGAACTTATATTCTAAATCCCTTGATTATGTTTTTCTCCACGTACATACCACTCCAGGAATACTTTCAAAGATTATGATAAATTATCTGTTGGGCAGTTTTTATGAATTTTGTTGTACCCTGCATTTACTCAAAAGACAATATTTGCTGAACTGATACTTATTTCCCAACCCCTCAAGAACAATGCAGGCAGCAAAGTAATTAGAATTACTTAACATTTATTTTCATTTTATAATGGAAGATAGGTGTAGACAAAAATATTAGAATAAGTCAGTGTTCACCATATAAATGTGTATGTATATATATATATTTTCACTTGACCATTTTTATCCTGTTTTCTCCAAATATTCTTCATTAATAGTTTATTGAAACTATAAGCCTAAGCTATAGGCTTTGACAAAAATTTACATCAAGTACCATTTTGAAAGCACAAATACTATATTGTGATTTGATTTATATGCCTCTTTCAGGGATGCTTTCACACAGGTCATCTTTTTCCTTTCTTTTTTTTTTTTTTTGAGTAAGATTAGCCCTGAGCTAACATCTGCCATCAATCTTCCTCTTTTTTCCTGAGGAAGACTGGCCCTGAGCTAATATCTGTGCCCATTTTCCTCTACTTTACATCTTCCACAGTATGGCCTGAGAAGTGGTGTGTAGGTCCACACCTGAGATCTGAACCAATGAATACTGGACCACTGAAGTGGAACATGCAAACTTAACCGCTGCACCACTGGGCTGGCCCCACCAGTCAACTTTTTATTAATGTAGCAAAAAACAATTTCCTCTATGAAAGTTTGGAAAATAAATAAAATTATATGTTAAAGATCAAAGGGAGTCATAATAAATAATTTCTAAAGGCTTGGAAAAATAAGCAATTATTTTAAAAAGTAATAAATTGAACTAAAAATTGCTGTTTCATGATATTCTATTACTTATTATTTAGAATTGGAAGAGAGCTATTTTTATTTCTGCTATTTTCCTCTACATTTATTGATTTAGGGCAAAATTAGCATATTCAACTGTGGATTTTTTCCCACATATTATGCATGTAAATTTCACATTTTTTAGTATGGTTGCATAGTTGGCAATTAAAAAATAATTATTAGCTCTGCTTCCCTTATCAATTTAGAATGAGGTTTGAAATTGTAACTCAGATCCAATTTGATTCTAAATCATAGTTATATAAGATGATGTCATGTGGTAAGAATAGGAAAGGTGAAAACAATTATTAGTAATATGACGTATTCCACTAATGCAGTTAAGATTTATTGACTTTAGACTAGACAATTTTAAAACACAATAAACTATAGAATAATTATATTAAAATTTTTCAGATGTTCTGCCTCAATCTTTTATTTTTAAAGAATAATGTATAGGGTAAATAAGATTTTTTTTACTATTTTGGTAGAAAAACATACATATAACAGGGAACCAAAATATAAGTTTCAGCAAAAATGTTAAGTTGAATGGTACTAGATACCAAAAGTGACCCAAGAAACAGATCTTCACAAAGAAATTTCAGATTAAGTTCTTTTTAGATGAGTAACCCGCATCAGGTATGTAAAAAACTCAAACCTGGAAATTAGTGGAATATTTTTTTGTGAAAAATGAAGAGAGCAGTAAGTCCCACTGTAGTACCCCATAATCAGAGGATACACAAATGGAAAGGGAGGGAACTTGATTATGGCATCTTGTTTGAATTGGAATTAGAATTGAAAGTATTAGTGAGAACACATAGTTTTCAATAGATAGATAGGCGGATAGATAGATGGATAGAGAAAAACATAAATGTAAATCTGTGTGTGTGTGTTTGTGTTCTAGCCTCATCCTTTGAAAAAGTGAGAGCTGGAAGCATAACTAGCACTGAAAACTTGTCCTATAATTACATTCTCCACTAAAAGGAATCAAGACTCCCTAAGAAGAATTACTATAAGTAGTTATAATGATGTAATAAACAAATGAATGTATGAATACAGAGAAGAGGAAGCTCCTTCTTACAGTAAAAAGACAACTAACAAATGTAAAAGAAATGTTGGAATTAGAAAATCACCATATGGCAACTATGACAGCAATGATTAATTTTGTCACAAAATATCAATGGATGCACAAACTGTGGGTGAAATTTCCTTGAAAAATGGAAAATTGCATGATCTCAGAATAGCCCCCTGCCCCCAAAAGCACTTATTAATTACAAAGGGCCAACTGTTGCTTTACAGTGAAGAAACCTGGCTGACTTCATCACATCAAGTGATCAAAATTAGTTCACCACTAATATGACAAATCAAAATTGTGTACAACTTGGGAGAATGCAATGATATTCTTGACCAAAAAAATGCACAATCTGAATATAATTATGATGAAACATCAAAAAGAACAAAGCTCGCCAGTAACTTCAAAAGCCACACTGTTATAAAAGTCAAAGAAAGTCTTCAGAATTCTTTTCATATTAAACAAGACAAAAGAAATATAACAAACAAATTGAACCCAATAATGCAATCATTTACATAGTCTTTATGAAATTTACTGTTTAAATTAATTAAGAGATGGAAAGAGGAGGCACTAGATTTACAATTTCTCTTGTAATTAAATAATTACTATTTTTGTTGTTCTTTTTTTCATATGGACTACAATTAATGTCTGGGATCACTGGCTTTCAGCTTACAGAACTTCTCTTAATGGTTCTGTTTTGAGTGATTCTGCCAGTAACATATTCTTTCAGTTACTGTTTTTCCGGGAATGTTTTATTTTGCCATGATTTTTGAAAGATGATATTATTGGCTATAAGATTGTTGGTTAGCATTTTTTTTTTCCTTTCAGTACTTTGAACATGTCTCTGACTGCCTCTGGCCTTCACTGATTCTGATGAAAAGTCATCTGTAATCCAATTAAGGTTTCCTAGTACATATAGTTTTTCTTTTGCTAGTTACAAGATTTTCTCTTCTGTCGTTCAACACTTTTACTGTGTTGTTTCTGGTTGTGTATCTTTTTGGGTTTAGCCTACTTTGACTCTCTCAAGCTTCTTGCACGTGTAAATTATTGTTTTTCACCAAAGTTAGGAATTTTTTGGTCCTTATTTCTTCAAATATTTTTCTGATCTTTTCTCTCTCTCCTTCTCTCTAGTATTCCCATGATACATGAGTTGCTGTTCTCAGTGGTCTTCCATATTTCTTTGAGGCTTTGTTAATTTTTCTTCATTCTTTTTACTCACTGTTCTTTAGAATTCATAATCTGTATTGTTTTACCTTTAAATCAACTATTCCTTTCTTCTGCCACATCATATCTCCTCTCCAGCTAGTGTAATTTTCATTTCAATTATTCTACTTTTCCATCTCCAAATTTCCATTTGATTCTTTTTCTTAATTTCTCTCTCTTGATTGCTATTATATATTTGATGACATGTTATCTATCCATTTTAACTATTTCAAGCACAGTTTCTCTTATTTATTTGGACATAATTATACTTGCTGCATTGAAGTATTTGTCTCCTAAGTCTAAGATCTGGGCTCTTTCACAAGAAATTTCTATTTCCTCCTTTTTTTTTGTCCATATGATTAAACTTTTCTCATTTTATTACACGGTTCATCATTTGTTGTTGTTGAAAACTGGAATATGTATATATATATACACACACAAACTTGCTAGGGCTTTTTTGTTATTCTTTTGGGTCATTAACATGATTTATATACTACCTGATCCCATCTTCTTCCATTTTTCCTCACAGGTAAACTGCTAACCACAATATTAACTGTTGAATTTATTACTCGCATGCTTTATTTATAGTTTTATAAAATGTTTTTGAAATCTTTAAAAATATATTATTTTAAATATCATATAATTGCTATATTGTCAGCTGAAAAGCAATAACTTACTCAAGTTAAGATAATAAGGACACTTTAATCAAGAGATTACTTACAAAAGTCAGAAAGAACAAATGTAGAAAAATCATGAGGAATAACACTGTCTCTTGTGATCAGTTACAAAGAAGTACTGTAACCAATTCTGAGCCTTCAGTAATGAGATCAAGTACTTAACAGAAACCAAGACAGAGGAAACTATGTGGAGGAAGCTGCCTGAAAAACAGCTTAGAATTTTGATGAAAGACAACATTCAAAGGCAACGCTGCTTAAGAAATATTGGGGAATAAATAATCTAATCTCTCTTTCCTCCCTCATTCTGATCTGTGAGTGTATTGGAAATCACAGGAAAATGTAGGCTTATTATAGTTTATACATACACCAGGTTTCCAGTGCACAGCAGAATAATGATGGAAAATAGATCAGGAGAGGTAAGTGAAAATATCCAGTACCAAAAATTATACACTGTTCTTTTGCTTTCAATTTGATTTTTTTTCAGTCAAAAACGTTTTCCTCAAACATGTGTAGCATGTTTGTCATTTTCACCACTCCTTTGTCTTCCGTTGAAAAAAATATATTACAAATTATTTCTACATTTTGTTTATGATGGGCACAGATTATTTTCACTATTTTTGTTTTTTTTGAAAAACAGACTTGCTATAAACACCATCATACATATAACCTCGTGGTCACATGTGAGAGTTTTTATGGAGAAGATGCCTGGAAATGAAACTTTTAGATCATAATTTTAACATAAATGCAATCTTATTATTTAATAACAAATGGCTTTCCAAAGTGATCATAGCAATATGCACCCTGATTAGCATTCTATGTGTATTTGGGTAGTCCTACATGTCAATTCTTGATCATAGTTGAACATGTTTCAAGTACTGTACCAATAAACAATCTTTATAGTAAAAGAATCTCATCCAGGATGACTTGTTACATTTAGTTGCCAGAATTAAAAGTTTATGACATATCTATTGGGTATAAAAAAGTACATAGTTATATTTTATATTGTGTTTCCCAGATTAGTAATGAAGATGAGTATATTTTCATAAGTTTACTGTCCATCGGGATTTCTTCTACATGAAGTGACTTTTTAAAATCTTTCAATAATATTTGTTTCCTTTTTATTTATAGTTCTTTAGGTATTCTGCATTACCTTATATCATTTCCTAAAATTTTAAACATAATCTCAAGTAAATCAATAATCACACTAAATGTAAATGGCCTAAACACCACAAATAGTATAAATTCTCCCATTGAATAAAGGCAAGACAAAATTATATACTACCTCTAGGAAGCCCACATTAGAATAAAGATAGACATTATACAAAAATGAAAGGGTATACAATAATTAAACTAAAACTGTTAATATGAGAAAAAGTATATTTCAGGCTAAGGATATCAACTGAGATACAGATGGTCACTCATAATGAAAAAGTGGTCAATTCATCAAGAATACATAACAATCTTAAATATTTATGCACATTATAACAAAGCTTTAAAACATAAGAACAATTCAGTAGAATTTCAAGGAGAAATGGACAAATTCACAATTATAGTATAAGATTTTAACTCCCTTTTCTCAATACTTAATAAAATGATAAAACAGAAATTAAGTAAAAGCATGGAAGAATTAAACTATCAACCAATTTGACTTGACCTTTATAGAACATTCTAAAAAATAGCATAATACATAGTCTTACCAAGTATACATAGTATTTTTATAATATTGACTATATTCTGTGTCATATCACAAGGCTCAATAAATGTTAGAAGATTCAAATAATACAGTTTTTCTCAGACCACAATGCAATTATATTAGAAATAAATATCAAAAACACATCTGGAAAATCCCTAAATATTTGGAAACAGAATGTCATTATTCCAAATAATCCATAGATCAAATAAGAAATTAAAAGAGAAATTAGAAAGTATTTTGAACTCAATGAAAATGAAAACCAACATACAAAAATTTGTTGGCTGCAACTAAAGTAGTAGTTATATATTTTAGCCTGAACATCTAGAAAAGAAGAAATGTCTCTCAGCTTCCACCACAATAAACCAAAACAGAAAAGCAAATGCAACCTGAAGTAAACAGAAGAAAGAACAAAGATCCCTGGAGAAATCAAACATATAGAAAACAGAAAAGCAATAGAGAAACGATAAGCTGGTTCTCTGTTCAGATTGAAAAAGAAAAAAAAGATAAATCCCTGGGCAGACTGATTAAGGAAGAGAAAAAAAGAGTGGGAAAAGACACAAATTGTAAATATATCAAGAATGAGAGAGGTGGTACCACCACAGATTCTACCAATATTAGAAGGATGATAAGGAAATAACATGAACAACTAGGCCGATGAATCTGATACTTTTGCTGAAATGGACACAGAAAAACTAAAAACGGTTCACTCAAGAAGAAACGAATAATATGAATATTTCTATATCTATTAAAGAAATCTAATATTTTTAAAAGTCTTCCCACAGAGGGAATTTTTCCACAAGAAAGTTTAATTTCTAAATGTAAGGAGAAATGAGAGAGTAGTCTCAAGTTTATTTTGTAGCAGTCATATGACTACAAAATAAAAAAATCAACTTACAGTACTCAATACATTGAATCATACACAATGGTGATAATGTATGATGTACATAGCATGCAACTATATGGAGGAATATCACGGGTATAACATTGAGCAAAAGAAACCTGAGACTTTCTACTGGATTTCGTGTGTACTAAACTAAGTACAAAAGCAAGCACAACTAATTTTGCGGGTTAAAAGTCAGGATAATGATTACTCATGGTTATGCTGATAGTGACACTGAAGTGCTGGTATTGTTTGTTTCTCTGTCAGAGTGCTCATTACATAGGTGTGTTCAATTTCTCAGAATGAGTTGAATAGTATACTTAAGATATGTACATTTTCTTACATACGTACTATATTTCAATAAAAATATTTAAAAATAAAATATCTGCAATATTAAAAGACTGCTCCAATAAAGCGTCTGCCTTTCATCCTTTTAATTCATTTCCAAATATA